CATCAATGCCACCCTGCAGATGCTCCAGAGTTGGTCCTAACTCTCCTAGGTACTCCCTCCTTATCTAGGTATGCTGAAAGGAAGGTGGCAGCACATGTACTCCCCACTTAATCTGTCACCCGAAGCAGAAGGATATATGAATCTGTGGCTCACTGGTTAACTTTATTTTCCAGAGTTTGAAGTGTAGAAGAAATTTGCATTTTAAATAATAGAGGGAGACAAAGCAGTTGTATTTTGGCAGGCTCACAGCAATTTTCAATATTCTGGCTCAGCCAAAAAAAAGAGCACTTTTTTTTGAGATGTTACCTGAGGCTTATAGCATTTTAGGTGTGAGGAAGTGCAAATCAGGAGATAATGATTTATTATAAGATAAGAGGAGGAGCTATAGCTGGTTCTGCCTCAGAGGAAGAGGAGAAGGAGATGATGAGGCAGAAGTCCACGTATGCAAGGCAGGTCTGATGCCCTTGGCCTGGCCAGAAGCCTGTACTTGTCGCCTGTGAACTCCTTAGCACCTCTGGCTGAAGACAATCCTGACCTTGCTGGATGCCTCAGCTGCTGGGACAACAAGCAGGAGGAGGCTTGCAGAAGCCCCACAACATTGGTACCTGCCACACTGAGCAAGTCGGAACTGCTGTCCATGGACAGCCACGGTGTCTTTGTCCTGGTACTGGAAACGCCCCTCCCAGACCCCAACATGCAGATGGCACCTTCTCCCTGAGGCCCCTTCAGCAAGTGCCAGAACGGGAAGTTGGAGACCATACACAGTTCATGAAAGTGCTCTAGAACGTCAACACCACCTTCATCAGCTGCATGAAGAGCAACCACACGTACAGCCTCAGCATCATCAACGACTTAGCCATGTTGTCCCTCTTCCAGACTATCAATGGCTTGTACCTGTGGCTGCTTGAGCTGCTCATCTCCTTGGATGTTCGCTGGCTATACCACGAGTGCCTGCAGGACAAGCTGGCGTGGATCTAAGACACCTGGAGTCCCTCAGCGCCCTGCAGGAGGAGCACTGGGAGAAGGCACCAGATCCAGCTGGTGCGCAAGTTGGAGATCATTCGGCAGAAGAAGCAGGAGTACCTGGATTTGCAGTGGCATCTGATCATACAGTGGCTGCAGGAGCAGGAGCAGGAGCAGCAGCTGCTTTTGGAACGGTAGAAACAAACGGTCCAGATGCATCGCCCAGATGCTTGCCTTCTCCTGGCTTTATGTCCAGCTCCAAGCCCTACCCTTGGCAATCAGCATGCTCTATCAGCCCTCAGGCCCCACCAGCTACCTTCAGCCCGGCCAGCTTGGTGCAGGGCTCCCCAGTGCATACCGTAAACATGAGCCAGCCAGCCCTGATGGGCAGTAGCCCCTTATGCCAGCATGCCCAGCTCTGGGGCAGACCCCAACTTGACGGGCACCTACATGTACCCAGCTGGGGGCCTCTGCTGCTCCCACTGCCCCCCCGCCCCCGCATCCCCCACCCCCAGTGCTAGGGGCCTGCTGCCAGCCCAGGCTATATCGCCTACCAGCCTACATGTCCCCAGGCTACGACAATGGCATCCCAGGCCCCCCAGAGCCTCCTGGTGCTGACACAGCCTCCGTAGTAGGGCACTCTGGGCTATTTGGGCTACTCTCCCTGTGGCATGTAGAAACTCATGACTGTGCTCTTGGGGCAGGACCCAACCATGGAACTCTTGTAGCAGCCCTGAATGCCAGGGCAGCAACCCATGTACTGGCAGATGGCGCCTTCGACCGACTGCTGCAGCCTTTGCCTTCCAGGTTCTGAAGCTGCCCACACAGATGGGAGTGTAGCTGGACCTATATCCCACAAATGAGTGCAGTCATTCTATGTCAGTACCTCTCCTTCTGACTTATTTCACTCAGCAAGATACTCTCCATGCCCATTCATTTATAAGTGAATTTCATGACTTCATTTTTAATAGCTGTGTAGTATTCCATCATGTAGATATAACATGGTTTCTTTAACCAGTTGTCTGTTCTTGGGCACAGATTCTAGATATTGTGAACAGTGCTGCAATAAGCATACAAGTGCAAATATCATTTCTGCTGTGTGTTTTTGTACCCTGTGGGTATATTCCCAGAATTGGTATTGCTGGGTCATATGGAAGCTCAATTTCTAGTTTTCTGAGGAATGCCCATATTGTTTTCCAAAAAGGCTGGACCAGTCGGCATTCCCACCAATAATGAGAGTTCCTTTCTCTCTATATTCTCACCAGCACTGGTTCTATTTCCTTTCTATGTGTGCCTGTCTCTGTGGTGTAAGATGATATCTCATTGTTGTTTTGATTTACATCTCCCTGATGATTAGCAATGTAGAGCATTTTTTCATGTGCCTTTTGGCTTTTTTTTTGCTTTTGGCTATCTGTATTTCTTTTTTGAGGAAGTTTCTGTTCATTTTTTTCTCTTCATTTTTTGAGGGGGTTGTAAGTTTTTCCTTGTAAACTTCTATTTTTTTTTCTTTTTCGGTCACAACTGGCGAAAAAATAGATAACATCTATTTTTTTTTTTTTGCTTTTTGGGGTTGCTCCTGGCTCTGCACTCAGGAATTACTCCTGGTGGTACTCAGGGGACCATATGGGATGCTGGGAATTGAACCCGGGTTGACCGCATGCAGGGCAAATGCCCTACCCGCTGTGCTGTCGCTCCAGCCCCTTTCCTTGTAAAGTTCTACCAGTGCCTTTATTATATCTTGGATATTAATTCTCTATCTGATCAGTGTTGGGTAAATAATTTTTCCCATTCCATGGGCTATCTCTTTATCTTGGTCATTGTTTCTTTTGAGGTGCAGAAGCTTCTTAGCTTAATGTGGTCCCATTTGTTTATCTTTATTTCCACTTTGCTTAGTCAGTGGTCTTTCATCTTTAGCTTCAATGTCGTGGAGGGTTCTGCCTATGTTTTCCTCCATGTACCTTATGGATTCAGGTCTGATTTTGAGGTCTTTAGTTTATTTTGATCTGACTTTTGTGCCTGCCATTGGACAGGGGTGTGAGGGTTTTTTCTTTCTTTCTTTCTTTTTTATTTTTTTTGCACGTAGCTGTCCAATTTTACCAGCACCACATTTTGAAGAGGCTTTCCTTGCTCCACTTCACAGTTTTTACTTCTTTATCAAAGATTGTTAGAAGGCTGCCTGGTCCAAACGCCAGCATATTTTACTGCAGTGGTTTCAGCAAGCTAGTCGCAGGAATGTACATTGACTGGCTATCACGGGACTCTCATAGTCAGAGGGTTTTATTTTCCCCTAATGGCTGATTTGAAAAAACTGCCAATTTCACTTCTGCCCAAATTTCCCTCCACACCAGTTCTTAGTACCTGTTCCTGGAAAGACAGTGGCCTGCTCAGTATTTGTAAAAGATCCATTTATTGTTGACCACAGTCATTTCACTAACTGAAGCTCATTGCTAACATCTATTTTTTTTTTTTTTTGCTTTTTGGGTCACACCCGGCGATGCTCAGGGATCACTTCTGGCTTTGCACTCAGGAATCACTCCTGGCAGTGCTTGGGGGACCATATGGGATGCTGGGAATCGAACCCGAGTCGGCCGCATGCAAGGCAAACGCCCTACCCGCTGTGCTATTGCTCTAGCCCCAGCTAACATCTGTTATTTTGGTAAATAACAAATCTTTTTGTGTTCGTCAGATTTCAAAGTCACTGAGGCATTTTAACAGTACTTTAGGCTTCTGTAGTTTAGACTTCTGATAGATATTTGCTAAACAATCCCAAAGCATATGTTTTAGGGATAAAAATTTATCGAAGTGAGAACAATGGGGATATTGGGAGTAGGGGGTCATACCCAGTAGTGCTTGGGAGACCTGCTGCAGTGCTGGGGATCAAGCAAGTTTCAGCTGCTTGCAAGGAAGAAGCTGTAACCCTTGTACTTTCTCTCTGGTCCTTTACAGAGGCAGTGTACTTTTTCCCCATCAAGCTGGAAATGGTGGCCGGAATCTACTGTACCCTCCCTCAGAAGGCCTCAGTTCCCATGACTTTCTCATTGTGTGAGAAAGTAACTATGTTGAGAGTGACCCCAATGGTTAAAGATACAGATTGTGTATAAGGAAGCTATCTCAGTTGTTCTTCCACTGCAGAGGGAGTCCTTCTTTTGTTTCAACATGTGAGCAAAATGGGCTGTGTTGTGCTTATTGTGAGATGTACTTATTGAGAGCCCGGCAAGCTACCAAGAGTATCTCGCCCGCTCGTCAGAACCTGGCAAGCTACCCGTGACAGTATTCGATATGCCAAACACAGTAACAACAAGTCTCATGATGGAGACGTTACTGGGCCCGCTCGAGCAAATCGATGAACAACAAGAGGACCGTGACCGTTGTACTTATTAATAAAGTCAGTTTTGCAGAGCACTTAAAGGAATTTTTAGGTTGTTTTTATAATCTCTGATTTTTACTCTAAGTGTTTTAGAATCTGTTTTTCTTACTTGAATCTCTCCCTACACTTTTCAGTTCCCACTAAACAGTAAAGATGAGACTTGTCTGGCACTGAACTTGGTTCTGAGGTTCCTTATGAAATGTAAGGTGGGATGCTCCCGTGAGTTTAAACAAATTCAGATTGGCCTGTATGAATTGCCTCCAAGCAAGCAACTAACAGGAACAAAAGTCAGGTTAATTTTATCCTAGAACAAGACATCATTATGTCAGGGGCAAAGTGACAAAATTATAGCTGTCTTCTGAGAAGTAATCTTTTTCTCTCTAACACCACATACAGATTTCATAATAAAATTCCAAAGGCAGACTCTAATTCAATTTATGGAAAATCTGGTGGTGGATTTATTGTTTATTATTTCCTCATTCTAGCCAGACAATATGGAAAAAGTATTTAGCCTAAGTTATATACATATTGTCATAGCTAATGTGTAGAATATCTTCTCACAATTAAGAACAAATCAACTTTTTTCTTAACTTTAACAATAAGTAAATAAACAATAATTAGTATTGTTGATTTTAAATTTGATGATTTTATTCATTTTTTATTCCAACAGGTATTATCTTTTGATGCCTATTTAGAAGATGAAGTACCTGAAAAGGTTCTAGAAAAATATAGAATAAGAATCTATAAAATTTATTTCTACCTTGAAGATGACACAATTGAAGTAAATGAACCATTGGTAAAAAACAGTGGACTGCCTCAAGGTATCTGTGTTAAGAAAATTTTAATTCCTGCATTTATAAATTGCCTTTCTCTTTTTTTAAAATTTTTATTAGTGAGACACCATGAGGTACAGTTGTAGACTTACAAATTTTGTGCTTGGATTTCAATTATACAATGATCAAATACCCATCCCTCCACCAGTGCCCATTTCCCCACCACCACGGATCCCAGTATCCCTCCCACCCTCATCCCCCCCCCCCATTCTACCCTGCCTCTGTGGTAGGGCATCCCCCTCTGTTCTCTCTCTCCTTTTGGGTGTTGTGGTTAATTGCCTTTCTCTTGCCTTTAAAAGATTGCATGCTACTACTTAGATTCAAGATTCTACTTAGTTATCTAATTTTAGGTTGGTGATAGTAAATATAAACATGCTCTTAGCATGTGGTGATGATGTCTTATCAGCTTTCTACTCTTCACACCTTACAATTAATTTTTTTCAGTTTTCTTTCTTTTAGTCCTTTCCATATCACAATTTCTGTCACTCCTCTTTAGCATACTTGTATCCTTTTTGGCGCTGCTCCATTATGGAAAAACTCACTTACGCCTTTGATATTTTTACTTCAAACCCTTTGGTATTTTTGCTCTAGCCACATTTCTTCATTTACAACACACTATTAGGAGGAAAGAAGACTGTTCTCCATCTACTGCCTCTCTCAGTTTGGTATTCTTACTCTTTCTGGAAGTCAATGCCTTTTGATTCACCCATCATTCCTGGTAACTATAACCTGTCATAACTTGTCATATCTGTTAATGACAGATTCTGATGTCACTTCAGCAGAGGGTATTTCTTCATTCCATGTTTGGCAGCCAATTTTATCTACTCTGTCCTGAAGCCAACCAAGAGTTAACTGTGATGTGGCTGTAAGAGTAGCTAATTCTCAGCTATATTCTTTGGAGTATGGCAGAGATTAAGTGAGGTGACTGATTTCTTCTATTTGTGCTGTGAATCTTCCCTTGGAAAGGATACTGAGGTCTGGATGCATTAGGGGTTAGCAACTGTGATGATAAAAGGACAAAAAAATCTCATGCAGAAGGCAAAATGGTGAAGAACAGGTATTCATCAGTGAAAGACTTAGGCAGCACTGTAGAACTGTCCTCCTGTTGTTCATCTATTTGCTCGAGCGGGAACCAGTAACGTCACCATTGTGACACTTGTTGTTACTGTTTTTGGCATATTCAATACACCATGGGGAGCTTGCCAGGCTCTGCCATCAGGTGGGATACTCTTGGTACCTTGCCGGGCTCTCCGAGAGGGATGGATGAATTGAACCCGGGTCGGCCATGTGTAAGGCAAATGCCCTACCTACTTTCCTGTTGCTCCAGCCCCAAAGACTTAGGTACGCCTGATAAATGTCTTCAGAAATTTAAGGGGCTCTCAGGTATCTCCTGAAAGTAAGTGATCTCTATTTTCTATATCCTCACCAAAATGGACCCAAAAGTCAAAATTCAGCTGTATAGTAGGAATAAGTATACGCCAGGACTGCCTGCCAGAAGTTATAGTAAATGGCTGTGGATAAACATGGGTGTCATGGCTGGATGTAGGGATAGAGGAGGACAGAATTCATGTATTTAGGTCACTGGTATACATAGATGGCTCTGCAGGAAGTTCAGGAGTTAATTTTTACAGCTTGGTAGAGGTATAGGAAGAGATTTTGCTTGGTGTTTGGTATAAATGAATTTTCAGGGCCCCTTGTATCCCTGAGGAGCTGTGACCCTTGGTGTGCTTTCTAGAGTATTGTCATCTTCAGTGTTCCAGACTCTGAAATTGCCTTTTCTGATTACCACTCCTTATGCTTTCCCTGTTTCTTCCTACCCACCTGTTCTTCATTCTCTTAGAGGAACATACCCTTGATCTGTACATGTCTCTTCACCCAAAACTCAACCCAGACTTTCTCTCTTTTTTTGAGCAAAGCATAATTAATTAATTTTTTTGAATCACCATGAGATATAGTTACAAAGTTTCTCAAAGTTTCTCTCTCTCTCTCCCCACCCCATGTCAGGGGGGTTTGGGGGGCTGTGCCACACCCAGCAGTGCTTAGGGCTTACTCCTGGATCTGCAATCAGGGATCAATGGATCTATTCTGGAACGCTTGGTGGACCATACAAGGTGCTGGGAATTGAACCCAGGTGGTCATATGCAAGGCCAATGCCCTATTCTCTATACTATTGCTCTGACCCTTCTCATTTTAATTTTTGACTAGAGAAATAGAATAGCTCCCCAAGATCTCAACTTCTTCTTACAATCTGTTCTCCTTTCCCTTTTGGGCTACATCTGGTAGTGCTCAGGGCCTACTCATGGTTTGGTGACTGAGTGGAGGGATGTAGTGTGCTGGACATCTACCTCAGGGCTCTCAGATGCAAAACATGTGCTCCGGTCCTTGAAGCTATCTCCCCAATCCTCAACAATCTGTTCTGTATGCAATAGACAGAGTGTTGTGTGTGATGTTACCCTGTGCTGTAGTGGCCTCTGAGGAGCATGCATGCAGACCAGAGGCCACAAAACAGAAGCCTCATGAACAAGTTCAAATGCATTAAATCATGCTTTGCATCGATACCATTTAAAATGCAGTGATAATCAAGGACAAAAACATGGGGTTAGGTTCCCACATTTAGGACTGGGTAGAAATTGGTAGGACTACTTTGTCTGAATTCTGTGGTAACCAACAAGACAGTCTCTCTCTCCTCTCCTCTATCTCTTCTCTCTCCTGCAAATAGTGAGGTTTGGAGACCAGAATTGAAGGTCAAGAAGGAGGATCACATACAGGAACTTTGCTCCAATGGCACACAGTTGCTTTGTCAGTGATATTTAAAAACTGGGCTGGAGCAACAGCACAGCTGTAGGGCGTTTGCCTTGTGCACAGCCGACCTGGCCGAGCCTGGTTCAATTCCTCCACCCCTCTTGGAGAGCCCAGCAAGCTACCGAGAGTATCTCACCCGCATGGCAAAGCCTGGCAAGCTACCCGTGATGTATTCAATATGCCGAACACAGTAACAACAAGTATATTCAATATGCCAAACACAGTAACAACAAGTCTCATGATGGAGATGTTATTGGGCCTGCTCAAGCAAATCGATGAACAATGGGAGGACAGTGACAGTGCAGTGCTATGTAAAAACAAGTGTGCCTGAACACTTAGCAAAATACTTAGCAGTATGCTTGTTTAATTGTTGTGCATTTTGTGTTTCTTGAGCAAAAGACTTTTGGGGCCAGGATGGTGTCACCAGTTAATGAATGGCCCAATTAAGACTTCATGAATATTGAGTACTCGTTAATATATAGTGCTTCTTATATATATTGTATATCATGCATATTTAGAGTCTAGATGCCTCATGTATGTTTAAAATATACTGAGAATTAGTTTTATTTTTTTATTTTTTATTTAGTTTATTTTTTTAGTTTTCCTATTTCTTTCTTATGGTGTTTAATACATACATGCTCTACTTACTGTTTTCTCTTACTTAATACATCTTTCAGTGTTGTATAGATTTTTCTTACTGATTACTTATCTGGATCTACTGCTTTCATATTTTTATGCCACAATGAGTTTTAGAGAGTAAAGGAGGAATGTTGGGTTGATGAGCCTTTAATAAAAAGATGGGGATGGGGGTGGTAGGAGGAACACTGGGAACATTGGTGGTGGAGAATGGGCACTGGAGGAGGGACCGGTACTCGATCATTGTATGACTGAAACATAAGCACAAAAGTTTGTAAGTTTGTAACTGTATCTCATGGCAACTCATTAAAAAAGAAAAAAAGTAAAAGGTGTTGCTGAATCAGTGTGCAAAAAACTTTCTACAACTTTCATGAAATTGAGATCATAGTTCATGGCTTCATTGTTTCTCTATGATGATTTTGGTACCAGTCAGTATTGTCAAGACGTTTTTACTGAATTGTCATAGTGTCCCAGGAACTGTGTTGGAATTTAAGAAAAGGGACCAAAAAGGGAAGATCTGTTATACCTTTATATCATGGATCCTATAAGTAATTTAGCGAATAAAAGAAGTAAGGTAACTAGGAGTTTTATAGTTATTCAGGTTAGAAATATTGAACCTGTGGCCAATCTGTGTTTGATCTCCAGCATCCCATATAGTCCCCCCCCCACACACCCCGATCACCACCAGGAGAAATTCCTGAGTGCACAGCCAGGTGAGGTGTAACCCCAGAGCCAGGTGTAACCCAGGTTTGATGCAAAAACAAAAACAATCACAAAAAGAGATACTGAGTATATAAAGTGGGACTGGGAGAGTGTCCAAACGTGGTAGGGAGAGCGACTAGATAGATTTTAGATATTTCGTTGAGAGAGTTGTTAGGATTTGGTTAGCAATTCAATATAGTTCACTTTAAAAATGCATAAAATGAAAAAAAAATGTGTTAGATGGGCTGCAGTGGACACATACTTGCCTTGCATGCTGCAAACCTGAGTCATGCTGCAAACCTGAGTTCCACCCCAGAACCTCATATGCTTCCTGAACCCACCAGGAGTGATCCCTGAGAGCAGTACCAAGAGTAAGCCCTGAGCACAGCAGAGTGTGACCCCCAAATCCTCAAAAATACTTGACATTTTTAAAGATTGACACATATTGACTAAAAAGATGTTTGACTGTCTCCCCCACCCAGGTCAGTTTATCCGCCGGTACTCGAACCCGGGACGTGGATTTCTCCCTGCAAGCCGCCCAGGCGTCCTCTCGGACCTTGGGAGACAAAGCAGCCCTGAGCCTCTGCCACTTCCTCTTCGTCCCCCAAGCTGTGCTGGTCTTCTCCCCCACCCAGTCTTTACCAGGTTACCATGGGGTGTGACCTATTTAGAAGTGGGCGTGGCTTCTGTAGAAGTGGGCATGCCCTAATTTTCGGCAGGCCAATGCTCAGGCGGCCCAAGGTAGTTTAGCCATAACAAGGAATCTAGTAACCACACCTACACACTAACATGAAGAAACAACGCAAATCCACACCACATGGGGAGGACAACGAAAAGAATCCAGAAGC